CTCCCACGGGAAGTCTCCACCGGCGTGTCCTTCTACTGCGGGCAAGACTTGTGTCCATATCCGCTGCAGCTTGGAGTTTCAGGCTACCTTCCCAGCAACCCAAGTCGCATTGGATATGAATGAACATCTCTCTCTTAGAGGCTCGATCCTTTCCACAGCCAGTGCGCCTCGGCCTTGTGGCGCCCCTTCCGAGAAAGTCCAAGGCGCTCTGGATATGGACATCAACCTTGCCCGCATCTACTATCACGAGGAAGCTGTTCACACACATACGACGGGGCTGGTCGCTGGCATTGGCGAGCGAGAGTCGAACACACACAAGCACGCACCCGCAGACACACACGCACACACACACACCAACACACAACACACACACACACGCACACACACGCACACACACACCAACACACACATACACACACACACACACGCACACACTCTTGTGACCACGTGTGTCTCCCGCTCGCTCTCCCCAGGCTTGTGCCCTTGAACCCGCCTCCGGGCGGGTCCCCGTCGAGTGACCCCTGGACTTGTCTCCGGCCACCGCCCTCTGGCTGTGTCTCGGGCGGCCAGCCTCCGTCGCTCGGATGCTCTTCCCACGAGGTGTGCGGGCAGTGCCACCTCGATGGGGCGGCGCCACCCACGGCCTTTCCACTCGTGCGAGACGACCGGTTTGTCAGCGAGACGCTTGCATTCTTCAAGCTGTGAGGAACGCGGAGAGGCATCCACGAATTGGTCGCATCGTGTTTACGTCGTGGCATTGTTGTTCTCCAGCATCCCAGGCGACGACCTAAGTTCGATTCAAGCCGATATGGCATCGATTAGCGCCGATGAGCGTCGATCAGCGTCGGCCTGCATCCATTGGCCAGAGTCAGCAAGATGGCACGGGAGCTTGCCGCGCTGCCAGAAGCCCACACAGGCTGCGGTGGCCACTGTCTGCTAGCAGAGCCCTCTCCCGCCCGAGGCTCGCCAGGTGTCCCAGTAAACGGCACCGGCTCTCCGCTGTAGCCCTGTGCAACACGAGGGCGTGCTCGTAAAGGGTCCTGCGAGCACATCGCAGCTCCCTCCGTCTGTTGTTTCCTCCGGTGCCACGATGACGCAACATCTTCCGAGCTAGCGGGGGGGGGCCTGCACGGGGTAACCCACTTGGTTTGCGCTGACCTGTCCCTTGCTTGCGCGGGGACGCTGCCCGACGAGACCGCGACACCTGCATGCACAGGGCGGTTTCCAGCTGAGTTTTTAGGACTAACGTACTCATGTACCGCCATACCGCTTCGAGCCTTGGACACAGAGTCGGCTCTTGGAAGGCGATCCATTCGGCAGTGGCTGTTCGCTTCCGAAGTTCGCCTGTCGCCAACATGGAGACTTCCACCTTGACGCCCAGCGCGCCCCCTGGAGCCGCCAGGATAGGTCGACGAAATGCAGCCCCACTCCTGGCGAGCGCTGTCTCAGCACTTGCCGCTGCCATCTCTCAAGGACGGCACGCTTCACAAATCACCACTTTGAGGCTGACCGAAATACTTGCCGTAAATTGTGCGGAGGTCTCAGCGCTCAATTCCGTCTTCATCACGGGACTGCCGCCAATTGGTGTAATTGCTCACATTTCACAAAGTGTTTAGTCTCATTTTAGTTTCGAGCGAGAGCCATAATTTTCAAAAGACCGCCCTCCATCCTTGTGAACACTGGAGGCGTCAAGCTCCAATAACACATAGAGAAGAGGACAGGCGTAACGCTTGGCCCGCTCTTCCGATACGTCTTGTATGGGAGAAGGATGGAGCAACAATAGGAATGACAACGAGGAGGAGTATGAGCAGGAGCAGGAGCAAGAGCAGGAGGAGGAGGAGGAAGCGGCGGGGAGGAGGAAGCGGGGGGGAGGAGGAAGAGGAGGAGGAGGACGAGGAGGTCTCGATGCCTGGCATGCGTTGCATTGGGTTAGGCCTTGCTGTGTGGTGGGGTTGTGGGTCTTGTTTGGCGGGACTTCCCCTTTTAGGGCTAAGAGGGCAAGCGCAGGAGGAGGAGGAGGAGCAGGAGGCGGAAAAGGACGAGGAGGAGGAGGAGGAGGAGGAGGAGGAAGAGGAGGAGGAGGAGGAGGAGGAGGAGGAGGGGGAGGAGGAGACACGATTGGGAGGAGTGGGGCGGAGACAGAGGGAGGGGCAGGCAGGGAGGATAATAATGGAAATGAGGAGAAGGATCAGGATGAAGAGAAGCAGGAGGAGCAGAAGCAGAAGGAAGAGGAAACACCCAACAGCCCCAGCCTCATGTGCGCTCAACGTCAAACAGTCGGAGAAGAAGGAGGAGGAAGAGGAGCAGAAGGAGGAGGAAGAGGATGAACCCAACAGGCGCAGCGTCATGTGCGCTCAACGTCAAACAGTCGGAGGAGGAGGGGAAGGAGGAGGAGGAGGAGGAGGAGGAGGAGGAGGAGGAGGAGGAGGAGGAGGAGGCGGAGGAGGCGGAGGAAGAGGAGGAGGAGGAGGAGGAGGAGGAGGAGGAGGAGGAGGAGGAGGAGGAGGAAGGAGGCGGAGGAGGCGGAGGAGGAGGAGGAGGAGGAGGAGGAGGAGGGAGGAGGAGGAGGAGGAGGAGGAGGAGGAGGAGGAGGAGGAGGAGGGGAGGAAGGAGGAGGGTGAGGAGGAGGAGTGAGTAGTAGGAGGAGGAGGAGGAGGAGCAGGAGACGAGGAGGAGGAGGAGGAGAAGGAGGTGGAGGAGACGGAGGTGGAGGAGGAGGAGCGAGGAGGAGGACCAAAGAGGAGGTCGGGGGCAGTGAGGTAGGGGGGAGGGAGAGAGATGAAGAGGAAGAATAGGAGGAGGAGGAGGAGGAGAAGGAGAGGAGGAGGAGGAGGAGAAGGAGGAGGAGGAGAGGGG